CACCCCCTTGGCAGGGGGGATGCCTGGGCACCGGTGGGGTCGGGTGGGGGCACTGGGGCTTCCCGGGCGGGGGCTACCGGCCCCCTGCCCCGTCCCTCTGACGGCACCGCGGCCCCCCGCAGCCCAGCGGTGCTCGAGTCCCGATGGAGATCGTGTTGCTGAACGCCGTGGGCTCCTCCGGCTTCCGCGGTGTCATCCACCTCCTCGACTGGTTCGAGCTGCCGGACAGCTTCGTCCTGGTGATGGAGCGTCCGGAGCTCGCGCAGGATCTCTTCGATTTCACCATCCAGAGGGGATCCTTGTCGGAGGAGGTGGCGCGGGGGCTGTTCCGGCAGGTGCTGGAGGCGGTGCGGCACTGCGACGCCTGCGGTGTCCTGCACCGGGACATCAAGGAGGAAAATATTATCATCGACCTCGCCACCGGTGAGCTGAAGCTCATCGACTTCGGCTGTGGCACTTTCCTCCAGGACGCAGCCTACACCGAATTTGCCGGTGAGCCCACACCCGGGGGGATGCTCCCAGCACTGCACGGCCCAGCCTGACCGGGCACCCGTTCCCCCTTTGGAGGTGGGGGGGTTGGAATTCATTACTCATCCTGCTACCAAGTTGGTTTTTGGCACGGGGAGGGGTCAGGGGGGGATGATGTGAAACGGGAGCCGGCTCCCAGCCGCTGCCACCCACCCTGCCCGGGGCTGGGGTGGGGGGAGCCAGCCTGACAAAAGCAAACACCCGTAGGGGTAGCAGGGGTGGGGTGTTGCAATTCCATGTGCTGGCCCCCGGTTTGGTTTGCAGGCGTGGAAGGGCTTGGGCTGCTCCACTCCCCTTGTTTGCCTTGGCTTTGTTAACATTCTTTTCTTTGGCTAAGGCAAGGGGGGAAGGAGTGGTTTTTTCCCACCTGTGGGCGTTTGGGTTTTTTTTTTCCTTTTTTTTCTTTTTCCTTTTTTTTGTTTTTTCTTTTTTTTCTTTTTTTTTCTTTTTTTTTTTTTTTAACATAACAGTCGGGCCTTCCCCGGACCCATGCTGCCCTCTTCCAGCACCAGCGACTGTTTTTTACAACCAAAAGTTTGTAAACAAGAGCCCCATGTTGGCGAGGGGTTGGCGGGTCACACCATGCATAATCCCCCACCCCACCAGTTCAGCCCCTGTGTCCCTGAGGACGCTCGGGTGAGGATCCAGGAGCGGGCAGCATCTGCCTGACGAGCTCTGCCTGTCTCCCGCAGGAACACGAGAGTACAGCCCGCCGGAGTGGGTCTGCTACCACCGCTACCACGGCCGTTCAGCAACAGTCTGGTCCCTGGGCATCCTGCTCTATGACTTGGTCTGCGGGGATGTCCCCTTCGAGCAGGATGAGGACATCGTCAGGGGACAGCTCTTCTTCCACCAGCCGATCTCCCTCGGTGGGTACCCGGCGTCGTGGCGGGCAGCGGGTTTGGGAGATGGCACTGGGGGCATGAGCATTCCCGCTCTTAGGGCTGAGGAGGAGGGTGATGTCCTGGGGTCAGCTGGGGAAGGTGGCACGTGTCCTGCCATCCTGCTCTCCTCCAAAGCAGCTCCTGGATCAGGAGGTTTGGGGGTAGCTCTGAGCACACCCAGCATGGCCCGGGCACTGCGGACGGTGGGGGAAGGTGGACAGGAGCCTTCTATGACCGGCGGTGTCTGGTTTCTCTCCCCAGAGTGCCAGCATCTCATCAGGTGGTGTTTGTCCTTGCGGCCCTCTGATAGACCATCCTTGGAGGAGATTTTCAACCACTCCTGGCTGCAAGGCGCTCACCACCCCTAGGAGATGGCAGCCACCCCACCTGCGCACTTTGGCCCGGGACCCTGGCCAGTAACAGCTCCAGGCCTCTCCTGGCCATAAGAAGCCAAGAAGACCAGGCTTCCTCACCACCGTAGCCTGATCAGGGATCATGGGGACCACGCACATCCTGTCCCGAAGCTGGGCTGGAGACCTGATCGTCCAAGTGCTGGTGGCCACCATGCAACCCAGCTCTCCTGGGCTCCATCTGAATGACCCTGTCTCATTTGCTGGTCTTGCCAGCAATTTTTTGTTTGTTTGTTTGGGGTTTTTTCTGTCACTGGTGGAGAGAGGAGACCTTATTGCAAACCATCTGGTTTTGGTGGCTCCCAAACATCTTCCTGAGCACCTGAATTCAGGATGGTGAGAGGATCGGAGACCTTATTGCAAAGAGAAGCTTCAACGGGGGAAAGACTTGGGGAGGAGGGCAGGTACTGTGGCCGAATTGCTGCCTCCTCCACTGTCACCCTGGTTGAGTGCCTTCAGCTGAGATCTGGACTGTGCTGGAGGAAATACTTGAATTTTCCTACACTGCTGCTTTTCCCAGACTCGCCTCGGTATATATTTCCTTTTCCCCTTTCAAAAGTAAAACGGGTCAGAGGACACCTGGGAGCCAAGGAGGCGATCCCTCATCTCCCGTGCCTCCACCTCGCCTGGATTTTCTGGGTTTCTTTGTTTCCCCGTGCCTGCACCACACAGCGCTCAGGGGAACAGCCCAGCACTGCCTGCACCACACGGTCAGTGCTTAGGGGAACAGCCCAGCGCAGCCTGCACCACACGGTCAGTGCTTGGGGGAACAGCGCAGCACCGCTTGCACCACACGGTCAGTGCTCAGGGGAACAGCCCAGCACTCGCTGTGCCACACAGTTCTGCATTCTGGAGCCATTGCACCGCATTCCACTCCAGGGATCGGCAAGGCCAAGCAGGCCGTTGTTGGGAACCTCACTGTCCATGTCCCTGATGACAATGTTGAGACAGTGCTGATCTTCTGACCGACTCTTAGAGACGTTTTACCTTTTTTTCTTTTTTCCCTTTTTGTTTGTATTTATTTTCATGGATTTGTATATTAAAGAGAGTTCTAGCCGCCAGGATAACTTATTTCTTTACATATCATTCCTGTGGGTTTCCAACCCACGCCTTGTTCCCGCAGCTGCTGATCCCCCAGTTTTCTGTTCAGGCCTTCCCTCCGTGTCTGCCCCGTGTCCATCCCAATGCGCAGTGTTTCTGTCCGGGGGTTTGCGGACTGGCTGCCTGCTCCCCAGCTGTCTCTGTACATAGTTCTGGTTGCCGTTGTTCCCTTGGCAAGTGTTCTGTTTTTCCCCGCTGGTGTCTTGTTTGGGACTGGGGAGGGGGGAGCTGCTCCGGGCTGTCCGCGCTGTCAAGTCTTTATATGTTTTAGCCAGTGGGTTTTTTCTTAATAGTTCATATTGTACAGGAGAATTCAGAAATCTTATATTTTTTTAATGTGGTTTTATATAAAAAGAAACTGCTTGACATGCTGGGGACATCCCTTTACTGTGGGGTGGGATGAAGGATGCTGCGAGCGCACTGGGTACCGATGGCCGCACCGTGGAGGGGCTACTGCGGGGACCGCCCGTTTGTCTCCAGCTGAGACTAACTCCGAAGGCCTCGCCCAAAGGCTCGCTGAGCCACGTCAGCCAGGACCAGCCAGTCGACAGCACCACGGGAAGGCTGGACTCTGTGGGGTGTTTCCAGGGCCGACTGCTCCTGGCAGGTCTGGAGGGATCGCAGGGGCTGTGCAGCCCTTTGCGTTTCCGTTCACCCACAGGCCGGTGCGGAGCGTGTGCTGGGCACGGCAAGGAAACAACCCTCAAAGCGACCTTGTGAAAGGCCAGGTGTTATCAGCCCAATTAAATTTCAGTCGGGCAGATCCTGTTGCTCCGGCTCTGTTTGCACGGAGTGGGTGTTGGGTGCCGGCGGGTGAAAGAAGCCGCCGGCAGGCTGTACCCACCTCCAGCTCGGCTGCAGCGAACGCAGAGCGAGAGGCAGTTGGTCTTGGGGTTACGAGAAGTCGGTCGCTGTCAGTCAGCAGCGGTAAGGCTTCGCTCAAGCTTTTACCCTCCGAACTGTCAGACCCCACTGCCCAGCTCTGCGGTGCTTCAGCTTTGGGGGTGTTGTTTTCGGTTTTTGCTTTCACTTGGGATTTTGTTTTTAATGTGCTGAATTCCGAAGCCCTGTTCCTGCTCGACCTCATGGCGCACCTGCTGCGCTGCGCCCGCAGGGCTGTGTCTGCCCAAAGGAAGGGGCACGTTTGCCCTTGTGCAGGTTGCTGCAGTTAGGGGGTTAACTCCCCCTCTAGTGAGACCCCAGGACTACCAACCGCTCTTGGTTTTTCAGGTGAGTAGTGATAATATTAGTGGGAGTAGTCCAAGATGAATGAAGAGAGATTTCAGGGCGTTGGGGAACTGTTTAAGGGGTCAGGAGCACAAAGAGTATCTCTGTCTCTCCTCCGTCCCTCCGGTTGCGGGGATGGATGAGGAAGATCAAGGGAGGAATCAACAGATGAGCTGGTGGCTCTGAGACTGGCGTTACCAGCGGGGTTTGTGTTGTTCAGTCACAGGTCAGCATACAGGACGCTGGAGCTTTTGGCATCAGGTGGGATGCGCCTGTCCCAGAGGGGAAAGGGATCTTGGGGCTCAGTGAGAGCTTTCAGCTGGGTCTGAAGGGGGAAGGGGGCAAAACTGGGACTCCCAGACAAGAGCCCCAGGGCCGGTGACCGGAGGTTGCGGGGTGGTGTGCTGGTGAGGACCCTCAGCCTGCCCTCTCCCGGGGAAGGAGAGGAGACAGGCAGCACGAGAGATGCCGGGGCAGATGGCTCAGTGACCGGGGATGGGCTGTAGCAGGGATTTACAGAGGCGTTACTGCAGCAGCTCTGTCATGAGCTCAATTCTGTGTGTGAGCGGTGAGGACCGAGAAGGAGTTTCACCGGGCGACAGAGCATAACGCCCGGAGTTCTGTGTTACTGTTTGCACTCGAGGTCCCCCCACAAATGACGTTTCAGCGGCTTAAGCTGATCGAAGCATCTTTTGTTTCCTCTCCAGATCACACCGCGTTGCCGAATCGCCCGTCGGGGAAAATCCTGGACCAGCGTCACCTCTGGGATCTGCGCACCGAGAGCCGGATCCTCATCACAATCCGCTAATGAGGGCACCGCGGGCGGCGCCGCTCCAGCCCCGGAGAGCGCCT